TCGATGGATATGGTGGGATTTCTTTCCTCTAGAAGCTCAGAGACTCATGGAGGAAAAACAGATGGGAATCCACAAATTATAACACAGAGAAGCTGAAACATCACAGGGTGCAACCCAGCATTGGGGGAGAGACAAGGGTGATGCACCTTGCCTCAGGAAACCAGGAAGACTCACACAGGAGGCAGGGTTCCAAGGAAAGGAGGCGGAGCTGGTCGGGGCTGTCCCTGAAGGTAGCACAGTGTGTCAGGGAAGGGCACAAGATGCTCAGGGGACAGAAGGCAGGGCATGGAGTAGCCTAGGCAGGGAAGAGGGGGGGAAACTGGAGGGGCTGGGCCAACCCTGGGCATCCCATAGTGTCATGGAGGTGGTAGGCGAGCCCACAGAAGACTTCACAAGTGGAAGTGGGATTGCACCTGTATTTTTAGGAAGAAAACTGGCAACTATAAATATGCACTGGTGCAGGAAGAAGCCCACTCTTCCCTTGCTGCTCTCTCCAGCAGGGCAGGGTTATTATATCCATGTTGCTGTTCTGTTGTTAGTCGAAGTTCATTGAGCATGCGCCATATGCCGGCCCCTGTGCAAGATGTCTCCGATCAGTTGTTTGGGGAGGACTCTCAGGAGCTACAAAGAAGTCATTTCTGATGTTCAAGTGGTATCTGTTAAAATACCCTCATTTGAGAAAGACAAAAGGACTCATGTGGTTTTGCTATGTCTAGGACATATCCAAAAAATGCTGTTTCTTGTTTATGATTTTGCTTCAACTGAGTCTGGCACAGGAGCAGGGCAAGTCCAGGGGTGATAGAGAGCTAAACATGACCTTAACCAGGCAGAAAGGAGCACCTCAAGGGCAACACTTCAGCTTCCCCAGAAGCACAGGCCTCTGCCCTGTGGTCCTTTCACTTGAACTCTGCATTTAATAGATGTGTTCTTGGTACAAGCACAAACTTGGAGACGGTCTGTGAGTCATTACATGGTCTCCCACGGCGACACAAACACTACAGAGCCATTAAACCCAGCTTTGTTTAAACTTGGGCAAAAAAGATCTCTTAGTTAATTTGGGGGTTAGAGAAAAATAGGAGTTTGCCTTTTGTTTTTTATATGCAATTTTCTGGGCTGGGTAATACAGATGGGAAAATTATGATGCTGCTATCAAGCTGTTGGGAATAGTCTGCCCACCCAGATGGGCTCTGATTGGAAAGACAAGCACGTCTGGTCAGGCTCCTAGTGGCCAGCCCTGCAGTTCTTGCATCTGGCTTCATGCAAGCACAAAGCATGAGACACAGGCCCTGGGTAATGTAACTTGCATGGCTCCGGCCGACCCCACCCACCCCACAGCCATCTCTGGATTGGCAATTGCATACTTTAAGCAGACCTCCCTAACGATCAAACCAGGGAGTTTTCTGGAAACCAGGCAGCAAAGGAGGGGTCTCAAAGTAGGTTCCAATGAGCCCCAAACTGTACATTTCAACAGTTGGGCAAGACTTTCCTGTATTTCTAAAATTTTTAAATCCCAGCAGACAAATGACTTGCTACTTTGAACCCCTATTCACAACTAAAGCGTTTTTACTAGAGTGTCAAAGAGAAAAAATTCAAATTGAGTACATTTGAAAATGAGACCAGTGCTCCTGGGACCAGAGCTCACTCAGGTTCTCTGTCTCATGAAATCCCCAAACACCTGGCACCTCAGGTACTCCCACGGCCCGTTCTCTCCCCACGACCCACGCTCTCCACACAGAAGGTGGTGGGGTTTTCATGGAAGAGTTTTTGCCTTTCTCTTTGTTGAAATTCCTCTCCAATAGGAGTTTGGGACCCCATACTGGACTTCTGTCTTCACGCCCACCTCTCCATGTACCTCCATAACTTTCTATTGATTTTTCAAAGAACCTGGATAGGAAACACTCACACAGGTACGATTCGCCTGTTGAATTTGCTCTTTAGGGATATTGCTCCACAGGTTTTTCTTTATAAAGTTTAACAAATTTTACTTCAGGTAAGCAGGTACTAGCTTCTCAGACAACTAGATTTATTCTTGGGACATCTGAGCTTTGAAAGGACATTCACATGGTAGGAAGGCAGGCCTTAGAAATAAATGAGACAGGTGTTATTTCTGAGCAAGGGGGCTCCCTGACATTTGTGGGTGATTCTATCAGCCTGGTCTTAAACGAGATGGATTAATTTGATCAAAGAATGCCGGGTGGAAGGGAGGTATTCCAGGGTGATGCTGTTGTTTTTGAGGATAGAAAATAGATCCAGAGAAACTAAATGACTGGACCAGCTGCAGAGACCTCTGCTCGTCCTTCACTAGTGCTTCTGCCCTTCTGTCCACAACCTGGGCATGCAGCTCCTGCATCCAGGCTGTGTTCCAGCCTCCCTCGTGTGCATGTGACACTCAGCCTGTGGGGTGGGAACTCAAGGTTGTATTTGTCAGGAAGAGTCCCTCCCTCCTGTCCCCTTCCTGCCGCTAAGGTTCTGATTCTATGGGTGGAGACAGTACCCTTCTGGACCATGAGTTGGAAGCCGTGTGCCCTAGGTGTTCTCAGGGAGAGCAGCCTAAGAAGGCAGGAAGCTGTGCTTTTGAAATGTGGATCTCAAAACAGATGGCTGCTTGGATATTGTGAGAAATGGGTGCCTGTTTCTATTTAACTCACTGTTGTTGGCTTTTTCTGTTATTCTCTATCAAACCTAGTCTACATTGCTATATCAGTAGTCTAGAAAATTATTAAATTGATTAATAGTAGCTCGCTGGAGGAGGGCAGGATGGGTGATGGGTAAGGCATGATTCTGAGTCTATCCCTTTAAACCCTCTATGTCGGGGGTTCCCAAGGAATGATCTACAAATAGCTATGGAAGAATTGCCCTGGCAGATATTCCCATAAATCCAGATTCCTGGGCCCCTTTCCTGTAGATTTTGATTTAGTGGCTATTCTATGGGGCTAAGACTTACTTAAAATCTCCCCCATGTAATCCTGGTACATAGTTATATTTGACAATTATTTGATGGATAATTGTTCTCTGCTGATTGTTGAGGCAATCAGAACTTCCAGAAAATTTTGTTTGGAGGGCGAAAAGCAAACAGGATTGAATTCTGATATAAATCACTCTCCTCCTTTGGTGTTTGTGGGTTCTGCATTCATGGTATTTGACCAACTATGGATAAATATTTGGAAAAAATTTTGCCTATACTTAATATGTGAAGATTTTCAAAAATTATTATTCCCTAAACAATATAGGATGATGATTTATACTATAGTCAGTATCATAAGTCGTATAGAGAGGGTGTAGAACACAAAGGAAGATGTATGAGGACTTTAGGCAAATACTGTGCCATTTTACACAAGGACATGAGAGTCTGCAGAGTTCTCCTTAGGTCCTGGGACCCTCTCCCAAGGATGCCCAGGGAACAGATATCCTCAGGTAACTTGGTACCTCTGCCCTTCCCTGCACCCACTGAGCGTCACACGAATGTGACTACCAGAACACTCTCAGGCTAGCCTCCACTGAGATACTCCTACGGCAGCATGACTGCATGTCGTGGGCTACACGTAGGTAATGTTGTTTTAGATTTTTAAATTACAATTTTCATGGGAGCTGTAGTCCCCTCCAATATGCATTGCTACATATTAATGCATCATAGATTGTGACTAAAAGAACTGCTATTGAGGTGCTTTTTTTTTTAAGGTTCTAGGGTCTCAATCTCAGAGGTTGCATTTTTGGTCCTTGCAAAGATCTGCAAGGTCAGCAGAGTCTGTCAAGCAGATGACAGCTGAGGCATCCCCAAAACACACAGCAGCAAGTCCTCCTGGCACCAGCAAGTCCCAGGGTGCCAGGCAGGGCAAGTGCACCGGAAGGCAGAGGGTGTTAGGTGCAGGACAATCCCAATAGCAGTGGGGGGATTACACTAAGCAGCAAGTCCACACCAGGGGACCCTGTCCAGGACATCTCACATGGCACGAGTGGGCTGCTCGGGCGAGTGATCCCCTTCTGGGATGCTGGAGAGGGGTTCTGAATCAGAAGGAAGCCCAGGACTCATGAGCTTCCCACAACTCTCAGCAGAAATAAAACAGAATGGCACTAAAGATTCATTTTTAAGACAACATTTGAAAAGAAATATTAAGGATATCAAAGAGCTGACTCCAACTGGGTCATTGACTGCCTCAGTCTACGTGTGGGTAAGTCATATAATCTTTCTGTTTCTAATTTTTTTATCTTGTACAGAATCAAGGGATTGAACTTGATGAGCCATGAAATTCCTTTTAAAAGTTGGATGATTTCATGTTTATCTAATAGCTAATTATGTACAAGTGAATTAAATGAAAACTTCAGTCAATGATATATTTGCACTTAAGGGTATAAAAATTCAAAATCCTAATATAAAAACCATCCGAGAGACACATTTTGTGTGTGCATGTGCATGCACACCCTCAGAACCTGAATTTCTAGAAACTTTCTTCCTCACTTAATCCCCACAAACTCTGATGGCCTTCTCTTGTCCCCGCTGAAACATTCCACTATGTAAATATTTAGGCTAGATTTTTTAAACATCCACAAACATTTATTTCACTCTCCCAAGTGACATCATCCAGAGGGCTCAAAGCATGCTGAGCCAGGCCTCACTAACATGACAGCTATGGGCTGTGGGGAGCAGGTGGTTTCTGAGCCCCATCCTGTACTTATGGAGGGTCCCCCAGGTTAAGTGGAGCTGCTACTAGAAATGGAATAAAGCCTTTTATGAGCCACTGCTGTTAAGCGATTTGAGTCTGTCCTTGTGCCCTCTCCATCCTAACCCCCCTTCTTCCTCAGGTGATGGCCAGGCAAGGAAGTCCTTACATCCTGAACTGTCCCCATAACCAACAAGGTTCAAATCAGAGGTCACTGTCCCTCTAAAAGGTTTGAAAGAGAAACGGGAACCCAGAAGTCCCAGGACAAACTGGAGGCTCTGGAGCTCCAATGGTTTAAGTGCCAGAAGGATTCAGGGAAATGGAGAGAAAAGCCCAACTTACTTCATCCACAAGCCCAACAGCTCCATAAATCCTGGCCAGCTGTCCGATGAGGCAAGGGAACCTTTCCCCGATCTCCTTCAGCCTCGGAAGGAAGCTGTCCAGCGCCGCTGGCTCGTAGCCCGAGATCTCTGTGAGGATGTTTAGGATGACGTCATTGTGGGTTGCATCCTTCAAATGCCTGATTAGGAAAGGAACACACTTCTGAACCACCTACAGAGAGACGAGAGGAGGGACGAGTGAAGAAAAGAGAAAAGCAGTAGAGCCCAATCGACTTCCAAAGCAAGTATGTGGAGTATTAAAACAGAACTCAGCACACCTGGGATTGTCACTCTCGCTGGGACAGAAGCAAACCTCTACACTTCGGAACCTAACATTCACAATAAAATCTCTAGGCCTGTTGTTTGCTTCTTCTTTTAATCTGAGCCTTGTGTTGCAGAGAGCAGTTTATAAAATGCTGAGATGCAGCTACTTGTCAATCTAGTTTTGATGTGTTGTGTCCCAGCAAAGTTATATTCCCTGAAACAACTGGGGGAGCTGTAGTTCGGAGGACTTAATGTAAGTATGAAAGAGGTCCTTGGTGACTTTACTCAAAGCCTTCAAACTGGCAACATACTGCTTAGAAATGTTAATAATAAAAATAAGGAAGGAGGAAAGAGCTCCACATTTTCTTCAATTTTCCATTTTGAAACAAGAAGATGAAATTATTAAAGCAAAATGATTTCCACCATATTACCACTGCCCTTTCTTGGTTCTCAGTGTTTTTATTAATATAAGGATGAAATAATTTATATTCGAAAATGTGACCCTTTGAAAATTTTTTAGGTACCGAGGATTGAACTTGGGGTGCTTAACTACTGAGCCACATCCTCAGACCTTTTTATTTTTTATTTTAAGTTGCTTGGGGCCTTGCTAAATTGCTGAGGCTGGCCTGAAACTTGTGCTCCTCCTGCCTCAGCCTCCAAGTCGCTGAGATTTCAAGAGTGACCACTGTGCCAGGCTCTCCCTTCATTTCTTAAAGTCTGTCTACTTGACCTTGCTGTCAAGACGGAAGCTTAACATGGCTTTTCTGAAGTGATTCCTACTCTACTTTTCACTCAACTCCTGGCCCACCATTCCTCCCTCTGGCATTCTGCTCCCATCACAGATCACACTTCCACTGTGCTGAATTGCCAAGGCCACTTTCCAGACGGGCTGTGCTTGTTCTTGTTTGGGGGTTTTACCCCTGTGGCTTGCTCTGTCTGGAACGCTTGTTGTCCCTATCTGCTGGATCAACTCCTGATCATTCTTGAGGCCTTCGATTAAGTGCTGCTTCCTCAGAACCTCTTGCCTCTCAGTCTAGGGCCCTGAAGAAGCTCTGCTGTGCCCTCTGAGGCTCTGCCCAGGTCCTTCTCACACCTGCCTCTCATTGCAGGTCTAGACCACTAGTTAGCTTCACCAGTGGTTACAATGCCCAGCGCACAGCCTGGCCAGAAGGTGGGTTGGTAAATATTTGAGGGGAAAAAAATCAAAGGAAGGCAAATCTAATTTTCTGGATAGCATTGAATAGAATATCACTCCCATCCAGAGCTGTTGAAATGTTAATTAAACACAGTTGCTGTCATGAGTCACATGTAACATTACAGGGCATGACAAAGACAGTTCTTGGATAACTAGGACCCTGAGTGTAGATGGAAATTTCCTGTCATATCCAGCACTTGGGAGGAAAGGAGAGGGCGAGTTCCTGGTGAGGAGCACAAGTGACCTCTAAACATTGCCTGTGCATCTGGGAGGGCCTGTGTCCTGCAGAGACACCACCTGGGCACACAGGGCACAAGTGTCAGCCAGCTGCTGCAGGTCAGGCAATATACCTAACCGAGGCCTTCAGGAATGGAAAATGCTCACACATTTCCTGGCCCCTCCCCAAAAGTTCCATCTCCCATCCCTCACCCCTGGAACAGAGAGTACTTATTCCTGGAACAGAGGGCTCTGCGACACGCGTTTGTAACCTCGCTAACTTCATTTTTTAATTTAAACTTCAGTCCATCTATCACAAACCTCACAAGAGTCGGATGTGTCTGTAGCCTCATAGAGTAAAAGAGGAAGGAAGGAGGGGGGCTGGGGTTGTGGCTCAGTGGAGCGCACTCTCCTAGCACATGTGAGGCCCTGGCTTTGAGCCTCAGCACCACATTAAAGAATATATAAATAAAATAAAGGTATTGTATCCACCTACAACTAAAAAAGAATTTTTTTTTTTAAAAAGGAGAAAAGAAGAAAGGAAAGGGGGCACACACACAGGGCATATACAGACAGACAGCTGGACACAGAAGAGAAGTTCTGAATTTTATAAACAAAGCAATAACAATTTTACCAAAAACCAGAAGTTGATTATTTTGCTTTGAATTCCTAATAGTCCAACGTTAAATTAAGATGGTGGTAAAAAAGATGGATGCTTTTAATTTATCACACACATGAAAGAAAAGTGGTGCTTTGGGCTTTAGAGAGATTATTCCTAGATTAGGAGGACTTTATTTTCCAAACACCTGGCACGTCCATGGGCTGGGTCTTCAGTATGGCCTCCCGGGGAGCTGGCTGCATGAATCAGAGAGGGCCCCATATTGCTGCAGATAGAGCTGCCATTGAGACACAGATGGCTGAGAAGGCAGCTGGCATGGCACAGGGCCCCTTCCTGAGTCGTGGAAGGAGCTCCCAAGCTGGCCTCCTGCCCCAAGCCTCTGCCTTCTATTCTCCTCAGTGCCATCAGGGAACTATTCTAAAACCCCAATCTGATCCCATGACCTCCCTGAGAGACCTCAAAGCTCTCTCATGGCCCAAGGTCAATCCAGCAAGGTCACAGCCATGTAGCATGTTTACCAGCGGGTACTTATTCTGCCTTTCCCTGAGGCCTCGCTGCACGGCACTGGCACTACAGTGCCTGAACACAGATATATCATAATTCCAAATTCCATCTTCCCTCTGGTCCACCCACCCCCTCAGGACCTGGGCTGGACTCCCACTAGAGGTGCATATCACACACCCAAATGCTTCCCTGCTCCACAAAACTGGCAAACCTGCCGTGAAACCGCTGGGCTGTTTGGTCTGAAGTGTAATCTGGGGCTCTGCAGAGGGAATGGAGCTCTGGCCCTCAGCCTCTGACCCTGCCTACCTTGCCCCTGCCCCTCTCTTCCTACTTCTGTCTTTTCGAACATCCTGGTTCACACATGAAGGTCACCTAAGCCACCCCTCAGAAATACAGGTCACATTGCTGGCATGGCTTGTCCTCTGAAGGCCCTCTGGACAGGCCTGAGCACCCAGGCCTATATGACTGATGAAGGCAGGCCTGTGTTGTCCAGGAACAGTCCAGGGCTACGGCCAGCTGTGTGTCAGTCAGCACTGCCTCGAAGTAACCAAAACACCTGATGTGAACCACTTGAAGGAGGAAAGTTTATGAGGACTCATGGTCTCAGAGGTCTCAGGCCATGCTTGGCATCTCCACTGCTTGGGCCTGAGGTGAGGCAGAGCATCATGGTGGAAGAGTGTGGTGGAGGAGAGCTGGGAAGAAGGAGAAAAGGAGAAGAAGAGAGAAAAGGGGCCAGGAACAAGTCACCAGGGCATGTCCCCAGTGACCTGTTCCAACTTGGTCCCACCTCCTAAAATTTCTACCACCTCCAATAATGTCATCAAACTATTTTTTTTTTTAATTTTTTATTGTGGGTTGTTCAAAACATTACAAATTTCTTGACATATCATATTCCACACTTTGATTCAAGTGGGTTATGAACTCCCACCTTCACCCCATAGTCATCAAACTATTGATCCACCAATGGATTGATCCACCAATGAGGTCGGAGCCCTCATGATCCAATCACTCCTCAAAACCCCAGCTCGAACCTTTGTTGCACTGGGGACAAGCCTTTGGGGGACATTCCAGATTCCAACTGTGACATCTGGAGTCAGTGAGTGGGTAGGGATGGGGCATGAGAGGGAGGGCAGACCAGAGCCCTCCACAGCCAGTGGACAGGGCCCCAGCCTGGATAGCTATGATCATGGCCCACTTTTCTGTGCTTCTACATGAGGCTGTTCATGAGCTTAGTGTTCAGTCATTGAGTTCAAGTTTTGTGGGTTCATCTCTCCAGGCCTTGGGCACCTTAAGGACAGGGTCCTCTGAAGACCATGCCATAACTTAATTGGCAGTGAAAGACATTTATATTCCTGTGTGTAGAGTAAAAGGGAGACACGTGGGCACCCTCACACTGCCTCTTAAATTAACCCTGAAGCCAAACTTTCTCTCTCAATCAGTTTGACTGGCATTAAATTCATTAATCTCAAGAAATCTACAAAATGATTGCCACCCTTTCCTTTATGAGTTATTCCCACCACAATGAAAAGACATGACATTGACAACCAGGGCTCGGCTCCAAGGGCTGTTTGAGAGAGGTCCATGTACTCCATGGCTCCTTCTTCTTGATGTTCCGTGGATGAATTCTCACTTTAAATAAACACCCAGGCTGACCTGAGCCCGCAGTGCGCGGTTAGGAGCGTTCGTGGAGGAATTTTCTAGTTGCCTGGTGAGAAGCCTCTCTCTGCAGGGAGCCACCCGCCCCACCCCCGCAGCTCCTCTGGGTCTGAGCGTCACTCCACAGGGGGCTGCACCACCCTTCAGAGGGTCACGTCCTGAGGAAAACAGAGGTGCACACACATGCTAGAGGCTGTTCCTTTTGCTGGCTAGACTGTGGCAGGGCTGTGACGGCCAAGAACAGACAGCGTTGATTCTCATCAGGGCCACTTGGAAAACTGACTGCCCAGCCTTTTCCCAGAAATGGATCCCGAGGGTTCTCTGGAGTTATCAACCATAATTCATGAGCAGGGAAGCCTCTCTTCATGGGAAGAATAGTTCCTTGAAAAGAAGGGCCCAGAGGCCAAGATGAAGAATGGGGTCCCCCTGCCCAGCCAACCACAGCCCAGAGTTCAACATGGGGGGGTGCTGAAGCTCTCCCACCAGCTTACGTAGAGAACATCTTTCCAGGGTCTACTCTTGACCCTCCAGACCTAGAGGGCTGTCTTCTTCTTGTCAGAGGGTGGGTGGTGTGAAGGGCCAAAAGGAAACAGGAAATAACCTGCACATTTCCCATCTACAGGCCCACACCATCTACCTCTGAGAGTCGGTAGTTGTCTTACTCGGAAATCAAGGTTCCACTTTAATCACAGTCTCACAGGGTAAAGCCTTCCCTGTTTAGCTGCTTATTTTGCCTGAAGTGAAATTAACTAGATTTAAGTTGAGAGCAGCAGTCTGCATTTTTTTTCTTTCTTTTCTTTTTCTTTTTTAGGTACTGGGGATTTTGCCATTGAACCCAGGGGTGCTCGACCACTGAGCTAACTCTCCAGTTCTTTTTGTGTGTGTGTTTTGTTTTGAGACAGGGTCTTGTTAAGTTGCTTAGGGCCTCACTAAGTGGCTGAGGATGTCCTGGAACTCGAATCCTCCTGCCTCAGCCTCCTGAGTTACTGGGATTCCAGGTGTGGCCACTGTGCCTGGCTGCAGTCTGTGTTTCTGATTATTACCACTCACTCACTTTCTTCTCTCAGCGAGCCCTGCCTCCACAGTTCCTCCTGTCCCCTTGGCCACTGTCTAATTAAGGACAGAGGGGAGAGGAGCTGAACCGGCCACTCCTGCATCTCACGGCCTGTGGCAGCTTAGGCCCAGAGAGTTGCAGAAGGGCTAAGGGGCAGGTGAGGGCAGCCTGCATGTGAAGGGAAGGCCCACAGGAGACCAGCAGGGCCGTTATTTCCCTTTGCAACCCTTGCACCTATAAGGATGCTGAACAGCAGAGTCCCCACATGTCACCGCAGGGGCCTCCAAACCCTGGCCTCCTGGTCCCGGGACTCACACTCAGCACCCACAATGCCCACCCAAGTCTGTACTCACCCTCTCCTCTTGCCTTCAGCTCGCCTCCTCCTCTTGTCTAGCCTGCCCTTGGACTGTCACTGCCCTGCGCCTTCTACCAACTTCCCTGGAACACCCACCTGCTCCATACGTTGCAGTCCGACCCCTCAACCTTTTAGTGTTGAGAGATTCCATTGGCTGGAACTAGACTAGGTTATGCTGTCACTGGGCCTCACCTATCTGGCTCTGGGAGTCACCTCACTAGCGTCAGACTCAGATTGTCTGTAGGGGGTGGTTTTGGGGAGGCTATTCTGACTGGAGAAAGACATGGAATCACCCAGATAAAACCTGGTCCGGCTGATAAGACTGAGGCATGTGTGAAAAGCCACCTCGCCAAGCCACTCCCTGTCTCCACCGCTGTTGGTAATCTCTCCAAACTCCGGCTTTTCCATGTGTAAAATAAAAAGCTTGTTGTGGGGAATGGATGAGGTAATGTCTGCAGAACACCCACACAGGGCCTGGTACATGGCATGAGCTCAGCCACTATCAGTGCCCTTTGTCGGCCGGGGCCAGCGCTGAGAGAACCCCTCGCAGCTTCTCAAGTGGAAGGGACTCAGTGACCATCCCAAGGCCAGGAGAGGAGGGAGCTGGAGCCAGAGGGTCTGGCTTCAAAGCCCTGGACCTGTCTCAATGCTTACTACACAGGTGACGGGGGGGGGGGCAAGTTTATTTTGCAGAGGATCCATTTTGACCAACAAAAAACAGGGGGGAAAATAACACATCACAGAGTTATTTGCAGGATTTAATGAGATATTAAATGTAAATAAAAAGTCCTTGAAAATGATGGAGTTCCCCGCAGATTTAGGCACTAATACTAACTCATCCATGTAGCAAATAGCCATGAAAGGACTTCTGTGTCCACCCCAGGTGCAGTACCAGCCCTGGGGATGTGGGATGATCAGGAGGTTCTCATGTCTAAAGCACCTGCCTGGGTCAAGGTGGCCCAGAGGAGAGGGGTCAGTACAGACAACTTCACTACAATGTGAAACTCTGCTATGGTGGGAACGGAGGGAGAAAGGAGCCAGAGAAGAGTCACGGCATGTTTTAGCTGCCATCTAAAGGACTGGAACAGCCAGGAAAGAGTAGCAAGCATGGATGTTAAGGCTCAGTGGCCTGAGAGTTCATCCAGGACAACCTTCTGGAGGTTATGAGGACAGGGCTCCTAAGCCCTTCCTGGGCCTCTGGGCAGCACAGCGTTTGGATGGAAGCTCCTAGAGTACCATGGTGGGGGGTGACCTCTCTCTCTTGCATCCCACCATACTGGGTGGGTGGCCCCCAGCCCTTTTCCCTCCTCATCCTTTAAGTGAGCCTCCTTTTGGCTTCATTTACCTTCATATCCAGCCTTTACCCCTGGGAAACAACTTGAATTATGATCCGCTCCTCAGATCCCTCTGGAACTTCTCCTGAACCCCACCCCCCCACGATGTGTGCTTTGCTCCTGCTGTCAATGCACAGATAGAATGGCACACCATTTGTGTCTGTGAAGCCATGTTTGGACTTTGGGTCACTCGTCCCTTCTCCCCATATCACCTGTTCCCCAGGCTCCTCCTGTGGCAGGCAGAATAATGGTCCCCCAAAGATATCCATGTTTCAGTCCCCAGAACTTGCATGTGTGTTACTTTGTGTGGCCAAAGGAACTCTGTAGATGGGATAAAGTTAAGGATCTTGAGATGGGCAGATTAGCCTGAAGTATGTGGACAGCCCCCATGTGGCCAAAAGCATCCTCCAAGGAGGGAGGGAGAAGAGGGTACCAGAGGCAGCGATGGAGACAGGATGAGAAGAGCAGGGATGAGAGTTGAAGGCACAAGCCATGGAACACCAGCCACATCTGGAAGTCAGAAAGGACAACAGATGCCCAGATCCCCAGAGGGAATCAGCCCCGCTGATCCTGACCTGTGGAGTGCTAAAGATAAAAACTCGTGTTGCTTTAAACCACTAAGTTGGTGTGCTTTATCATAGCTCCAGTAGCTGATGAATGCACCTCCCCTGGGAGTCCACTCAGTGGCCTCCCTTGAGGGGACCAGTGACCCTCCAGGCCACTCCTCACCCACACTGTACCTTCAACCTTCCTTTCATCCTTAATCCTTTCTGAAACCGACTTCTCCACTTGCACCCTGGAACACTTTCCCTAGCTTCCTCCAGCACCCTGTCCTTTCTAATATTTCTTTACACACCTTCCATTTCTTTATTCTTACTGTGTGTGTGTGTGTGTGTGTATTTTTTTTTAACTCTCCTGGTTTTCTCTGCCCTTTATGAATTGGCAGCCTATACTCACATGGTCATTTCCTAAGCGTCCCTTCCATATGCTGTCCACGGTAAATGACTGCCTGCACCCACCCATCCCCTGACGCCAAATATTGACACTCTAGGGGGAGGGAGCACAGGTGCCACCGTAATTGATATAGCCTGGGGTTCACCATCCATCTTGGCTAAGCATGCGTGTTGGATTCCTTCAGAATCCAATTCCACTTCCTCCTTCCTGGCACCCTCTAGCTCCTCTCTGGGTGTCCTCCAGGTCAGCAGTAGCTCCAGGGGTAAAAGAGCATCCTATGTAGCCCTGTTAGACTGACAGGAAAGTCATCCTACAATGGCTACAAGTTTGCAGTTGGTGACTTTTACTACCTGTGGTGGTTAACTATGTGTCCACTTGACTGGGTCTCAGGTGCTCTGATATTTGCATAAACGCTATTTCCGAAAGGCCTGTGAAAATATTTTGGGACATGATCAGCACTTTAATGGGTAGACTGACTCAAGCAGATTGCCCTTCCATCGAAGGAGGGCACCATCCAATGGTTGGGGACCTAAATAGAACAAAAAGCTGCAGGAAGGGAGAGTGGCTCTGCCTTGTTGCTTCAGCAGGAACACTGGTGTTCAGCTGCCCCCAGACAGGGCTGGACACCATTGGTCCTCCAGTTCTCAGGAGTGTGCACTTGAACTGCGTCACTGTCTTTCCTGGGTCTCCATCTTTAAGACAACAGATGGGACAGCTTGGCCTCATTACTGCATGAGCCAGTTCCTCACCAAATACACGTGTGTGTATACTTACATGTGCTCGTAAAAGGAGGTGAAGGCCTTCCTTTGGAGATGGGTGAGGGAACACTGGGCTCACATCCTGTCCCACCATCCGGAACCATGCAGGTTGTGTGGACCACGGTGTCTGAACACACTTCTTACCTCCACTTGTCGCCTCCTTGCTGCCACGTGCAGAAGCCGCAGGAGATGGTACTGCTCTGGTTGCTCCAGCTGAGGCATCAAGGCCAGGAGCCCTGTCAGGTGTCGGTGGATGGGCTGAGGCTGCTCTTCACACACGGCAGGCAGCACCCTCAGCAACATGGTGTTTCCTGTGGAGGAGACACAAGGGAGTGGCGATGTCACCAGCTCACAACCACAGAAATGCCACATTGCCAAAGCAACTCCTCTGTACTCACACACGCAATAGTACAGACCCCAGCCACCACTTCTGTTGAAAACACACAGCATCGCCACACGCCTGCGATCCCAGCAACTTGGGAGGCTGAGGCAGGAGGATCGCATGTTCAAAGTTAGCCTCAGCAAGTTGGAGGCCCTAGATAAACCTGTCTCCAAAACAAACAAACAAATAAATAGGGCTGGGGATGGGGCTCAGTGGTTAAGCGCCCCTGGATTCCATCCCTGGTATAAAAACAAACACACAAAATCACAAAGCATCTTCTTCTCAAAAATCACTTAAAGCTTGATTTAAACTTATACCCTAAAAGGAAACACCTTGTGATATAATCAGCATTATTACATTATGAACATTTTTCCCAAGTCATGCCACCTGAGGGACAGTCACAGACCACATCCTTGAGAAGGAAACGGCTCTGATCAAGAATCCTTGATGTTGAAGTGAAAAGCCAGCAGGGTCATAGAGGGAACCTGGGAAACTCTGTGAAACTGAACCAAAAAGGTGTGCAGAGGAATGTGCCCACATTCCTGAGCCACAAAGGTGAGCTTCAGAAGAATGATCTGGAAACTATGCCCTGGAGAGTTTAGAAAGTAGCCTTGCAAATTTAAATCCCCAATTTCTGCACGATTTCAAGAGCAGTTTAGATTCAGCTTGTTTGTCACATGTGTTTTGCCTCAAAGACATACAAGATAACTGCATTTAAAATGGCAAAATTTCAAGAGAAAAAGGTCATATAAGCTGCAAGGACTGATCTGCAAACGACATATGGGAAACATCTGCTTATCGCTTTATGGTATGGATTTTTTTTTTCAAAATCCTCTCAAGTACTTAAGTGTTTTGGGGGATTGGTTTCTAGGGATCTCTTGAACAAGAGTTGTCTTGGCTCTGTTTACTTTTACTTTAAACTTGGCTTTGTGTATAGGAGACCTACCCAGAAAGACTCAGATCAGCAGAAATGAAACATACAGCCCTTCATTAGGTACTGGGAACAACCTTACATATAAGAGACATTTAGTTACAAGCATTAAGGAAAGATGGCTAGGATTTTCAGAATATCAATATTTACATTCAGTGAAAGGGTAACTCTGGATAAAACCAAATGTATAAAAAAATAACAAGAGCTGCTTTTTCCATATGCACTTCATAGAATTATTCTCAAACATGGCCACGGTACAGGTGTGTAGAAATACTCAGTCTCCTTCCTTCCTTCTCTCTCTCTCTAAAAGAAGTTGTGTTTATCAGAGTCTAGTTTCAACATTGTGATTTTAAATAACTTATTTTGTTTGTTTGCTGTTTGTTTTTACTAAGAGCTTCTCTTTAAAGGGTCAGGAAGTTTTAATGCAGTACACCATCTGTACGGAACACATCAGGTCCTAGAATGCACTTGTGTATATACTCTGATCAACTGATGAGTGAGGTCATGTTGAATGGACTGCAGCTGGACTGCAGGACGGGAAACTGCCATGGCTTTTGGTATAGTGCTGGCTAAAGGCCCGGGGAGTGTTGAAGGGGAAATCCCGAGATTAGTCATTTCAGCTGACTTCAATTTTAATCAAATAATACAAAAATCAATGCAGAAGACCTTTTCTGGACCAGACTGATGAAGACAGCTAGATATAGAGATCCTATAAATTTTACTCACAAATTAACACTTTCTTTTTAATCAGGAAGCATTTCTGAATTTCTAGAATGTTCTCAGGTGAAGTTCACAGTCCCCTGGACCACATAATTCAGCAGCAAGATGGTGGTGTGCCCCTGGAATGTCAGTTTATAGATGTTCCTGAATTTCTTTTGTAAAGCCATGGTGTTAGTTTTCTATAGTTGTGTAAGAAACTAGAGTGACGATGGAGTTCAGATGTCTGACATGAGTTTCACCAGGTGAAGACCAACTGCAGGCAAGGCTTGGTTCCTTGTGGACCCTGAGACACTGAGCACATACCTGTGTTCGTCTCCACCCCCCACCCCCATATATATTTTTTGTACCCAGGGGCACTTAAACACTAAACCATATCCCCAGCCCTTCTTATTTTTTTGTTTTGAGACAGGGTCTCACTAAGTTGCTTAGGGCCTGGTTAAATTGCTGAGGCTGACTTCGAATTTTTTATTCTACTGCCTCAGACTATCGGGCCACTAGGATTACAGGCATGAGCCACCCCATCTGGCTCCCTCTTTCACTTTTAAGGACCCCTGCGATTACATTGAGCCTGCCTGGATAATCTGGATGGTTTTACATACCAATTCTGTCTAATGTGTACAGGTTGCAGGGATGAAATGTGCACATTCTGGGGGGCATTATTCTGCCTACTACCAGGATTATGGGAATTTCCATTCCAACCAGCAGCACTGGTGTTTCTGTGGCTCCGTTTCCTTCCCAGCATTTGATCTTGATGGCCACTGGCTTTCCCTGGCTTTTGCTAATCTGATGGGGGTGCAAGATCATATCTCATGATTTTGGTGTTTATCTTAATGGTTTGTGAGTTGTGCACCCTTTTTAAGTGTATTTACCAGTCATTTCCTCTCCTGTGATTTAGCCATTCATATCCTTTCTGTACTTTCTATTGGAATGTTTGTGTTTTTCTTATGAATTTTTAGAAAAATTTTTACTTATTTGGGAGATAATTATTTGTTGGTTTATCAATTTGAAGTAGCAATCTTAAATTGGTTTGTTTTTCAATTTTTAATTTCATGGTTTATGAGGGGTTTTTGTTGTGTAGTTAATGAGAAAACTTTTGCAGGTTCACAAAAATATTTTCTCCTAAAAGCATTTTTTAACCCTTTAATCTATTTGGAATTTGCTTTTGTACATATGAGGAAAGAACCTGATTCTAGTTTTTTCTTTGTGTAAGAACAGTTGTCCAGCACCTCTTACAGAGTGGCCAGCATTGCTTTTCTGATCTGCAGCACTTCTTTGATATGCCAGGTTTTGCATACTTGCTGGGTCTGTTTCTGGGCTATTCTACCACTCATCAATTCCACATTTTCTTAATTACAATAACCTTATAATAAATCATGATAGGGGAAATTTCCTCACCTTCTACTTCTTTAAATTCCTCTTGGATGACTTATATAAACATTTTAGCAACAGTTTATCAACTTCCTTCAAAAATAGGCTTGGATTCTTTTTCCATATTGAATATATAGACTGGTATAATTGACATCTTCATGACACTAAGTCTTTCCATTCAAGAATATGATTTATCTTTCCATCTGTGTAGATATTTTTTATGTCTTTCAAGAAAGGGCTGTAATATTGGCTCTGCCTTATGTATCTTTTATTAAATTGATGCCGAGGTATCCTACATATGTTGCTGCTACTATAAATGGATGCTTTCTCCACCAAAGGATATTTTCAATTTATCTGCTAGTATTAAGAAAGCAATAGATTTTTTTTGTATGTTGCTCTTCCATCTAGCAAAGCTTGCTCAATTCTTTTATTAATAATGTCTTTTAAGTCTTATGGGTTTTCTGCGTGTGGGTAATCAACGCGTGATGATTGATGAGAGGTTCTTTCTTTCCATCTTTATGTTCTTTCATCTCACGTCCTGACGTCCTATCTCACTGGCTGGAATCTCTTATTCTCCAATGAGTAGAGCCACATCCCTGAGCACCCTTATGTTATTCCTGTTTTTAACAAATACCTTTCCAAGGAAACATACTTTTATAATTTACAGTCCTACTTGTATCTGTTTGTGTTGGTCTTTGTTATGGTTTGAATCTAAAACGTCCCCCAAAGGCCATGTACTAAAGGCTTGTTTGTCTGCCTGTGGTGGAACTGGAAGGTGATAGGTGCTTCAGGAGGTGGGGCCTGGTTGGAGAAGTAGGTCACAGAAGCATGTCCTTGAAGGGCATATCTTGTCCCTTGCCCCTTTCTCTATCTCTGCCTCCTCTCTGCCACGAGGTCAGCAGCTTTGCTCTACCACACCCTCCCCACCATGATGTTCTGCCTCACTGAGGGCCCATAAGCAACAGTGCACAGTGACCAAGGACCCAGACCTCTGAGTTCGTGAGCAAAAATAAATCTTTCCTCTACTGAGTTGATTTTTCTCAAGTATTATGTCCCATTGATGGGAACCTAACAGTTTTGGTATTTTTATCTGTCTAAGTAAGTTCCCATCTGTTTTCTACTTTGATTTGAGGGTTGAATTTTATCAAGTGCTTTCTCCCATCTGTTGACATGATCATATGATTCTTACTGAAGCAGCTAATGTAATAAACTCATAGATGGTCTAAGATTAATCATCTTGCAATCTCAGATTAAACTCAACTTAGTTATGATGTATTTTATGCATACATTTCTGTGTTTGTTTGGGTATTCTTTATATTCTTTATATATAGTATCAATATCTATGTTTTTAAATGAGATCACCTCACTATCCCTCTATAATAATGTCCATTCTCTTTTGGGTATTATAATTATATTAATTATATCATAATTATTAAGCCTGGGGATATAACTCAGTTGACAGAGTGCTTGCCTCACATGCACAAGGCCCTGGGTTCAATCCCCAGCACCACGCACACACAAAAAAAGTACTAAGACATATGAGATGAATTTAGCACATTCCTGCACATTCTCTTATCAGAAGCACTTAGAATAAGATGGGGATTATGTGTCCCTTGCATATTTGGTAGAAATTGCCTATCAAACTGTCAGGCACTGTATACTTTATTACAACAACTTCTAAATTTATGGTTGAAGTTTCTGTGTCCTATAGCCACAGATGAATTCACCAATTTTGTTAACTTCTCCCTCTATGATCAGCGATTTGTTAATTTCTTTTATAATTCTGTCAATTTCTGGTATATATTTTCTGAAATGTTACTAGATACTTCCAAGTGTGAAGTGTTTTGTTAATCATAATTTAATTTAATTATCCTTTGAGACTATCCTTGTTTTCAATTGTGCCACTACCC